TAAAAAAATATTTTTTTTTTTTAGTCATAGATGGACATAATACCTTTACTTATTTTTAAACTTTTTTAGTTGTATATGAACACAATATTTATTTTTATGTGTTGCTGAGAATCAAACCCAGTGCCTCACATGTGCTAGGCAAGCCCTCTACCACTGAGCCACAACCCCAGCCCCCTTTAAAAAAAATTTTTTTTTAAATATTCTTTAAGTTGTAGATGGACACAACACATTTATTTGCTCATTTTTATGTGGTGCCGGGGATCACACCTAGTGCCTCACACGTGCTAGGCAAGTGCTCTACCACTGAGCCAAAACACCAGCCCCCAGCCCCTTAATAAGTCTCCTTTTTTGATAGTTTAGCACTCAGGTTCAAAATGCTTTAATCTATTTTATTTATTGGTCTTTTCAAAGAGCTAGCTTTTGGATTTATTTGTTCTACAACTTTGTTGTCTACCATCATGTGAGTTTCTGCTTTAACAAGCTTCTATAGCCTGGAGAGGGACGGGCCAGAGGACTATCCTATTCAGGGTTGTGATGCCCTTGTCTGCTCTGAAAACAAAAGGCTTGTAAACTTGCACCAGCAACATAAGTTATGAACTGCCTTCACCTCCACACTCCCATTGTTTCATGGTTTTAGGCTTTTACCCTAAACAGGGTCTCTCAAGCCCTGGAACTGAGTCAGGTTAAGGGGCCTCCTATGTAATTTTGTGTGTGTGTGTGTGATGGTACTGGGGATGGAACCCAGGGCCTCAAGCATGCTAGGCAAGTGTTGTATCATCAAGTTATACCCACAGCCTGCTCTATGCATTTCACAACAAATTCTACAGTCCTCAAAACTTTTGACTGGTTGATTTTCAGGGTCTTGCTAAGTTGTCCAGGCTGGTCTTGAACTTGCAATCCTCCTTTCTCAGCTTCCAAGTAGCTGGAATTATAAGCATGTGCCACTGAACTCCCTGCCTCTTTTTACAGTCAGGAACCTGGAAAACAGAAAATAGATTCTACTGCAAGACACAGTCTGGGAATTAATTCTTGGCCTGCTAAGTGCAGCAGAGAACAATTTGCAGAGAAATATCAGTTCTTTTTTGATCCAGAGCTCTTTTCAGGAGAATATCTGAATCATTAAATTTACTTGTCATTTTATTTCTTCTTTTTTTTTAAATAATTTTTTTAAGTGTAGAAAGAGAGAATTTTTTAAAGAGAGAGAGAGAGAGAGAGAGAGAGAGAGAGAATTTTTTAATATTTTTTTTTTAGTTTTCGGGGGACACAACATCTTTGTTTTGTATGTGGTGTTGAGGATCGAACCCGGCCGCACGCCTGCCAGGCGAGCATGCTACTGCTTGAGCCACATCCCCAGCCCGTCATTTTACTTCTAAATGTATTAGATAATGACTAGAAAGACCATCAAAAGGTGAAATATAGTGTTACTATGTAACTTTGGGGGAAAGTTTTCTAAAACACCTGCACCATTTTATATTCCCACCAGCAGTATGATGGTTTTAATTTCTCCATGTCCTCCCCAACACTTGTTATTGTCTTTTTCTTATTACAATCATATTAGTGAGTGTGAAATGTTATGAAGAGTTTATACAGGACCCAGATTCACCCCCTCCATCACCACCAGGGATGGAACCCAGCCACCACACCCAGCCAGGATCCACTTTTCTGATAATAATCCATTAAATTTACAAATAGGAAGATCTAATAAAGTTAACTATTTGACAAGACATTTCCCTCAAAAGTGCTCTGGGAATAGAGTGAATGACCAGGAGCTGTAGGAAGCAGTCTTCCTGATAAAAGGCTGAGGTGGCTCCTGGTTCCTGTTGGAGGACCGGACTGGTTTGAATAATTCTGCAGGCTAGAGGGAATTGAGACCTGCTACTCAAGCCTAAGCAGGAACTGTGCCTGGCCCATTTACCAACTTGTTTGCTTAGGCCCTTATCAATGGGAGCACAGTGGGGTAGGGAATGTGCTAACTGTCATCCAAGGACTTCCTCACTGGTTTCAGACGTCAAGGCAGAACATAATACTGGGCTTGAATTTTAGCTCTTACACCACACCACAGATGCTTCCAGAGTGAGACAGACCCAGGTCAAATCCCAGCTCGCCAATCATGGGGTCAGCTCTGGCAGTGGAGAGTGTTTCTGGGCCCCAAGTGGGCTTAACCAGAAGCCCCGGAAGTGAAGAGTCTTGGAGGAAGACCTGGGTGGGGAGAAGGAAAGGCTCATGGAGTCACCATGAAGATCAGATGAATCACAGGGGGACCTGGTAGAGAAGCAGCAGCTTGAGTTGGTATGAAAAGGCACGGTCCCTGGAGAGGCAGCTCAGGGAACGGAGCAGATGAGTGGGCACCACTTCAGGCCTGGCCTGGCCTAGTTTCTCATGAGATGATGTAGATTCTACAACCCACTCTGGAGGCTGACAGTGCTACTGAGTTAGCTAAGGCCAATGCAGTGGATAAACGACTGAAGAAAAGAAGTGAAGACATGAATGGATCACCTGCATGGAGATCAAACCAGGTATACAAAGTGACACACAGGGTGGCACATATGAGCAACTGTGGGCTCTATTGACATACAATTACCTTCTGTCCACAGATTTGAAAAGGAAATAATGAGAGTCCACAGTGTTAAATTGTTGGGAACTCTTGGGGATGCAAAGTAAACTGACCCCAAGCAAGTGTGGAACACACTTTCATGTGCCCATCAAGAACTTAAAAATCTGGGGCTGAGATTGCGGCTCAGTGGTGCAGCACTCACCTAGCACAGGCGGGACCCAGGTTTGATCCTCAGCACCACATAAAAATAAAGGCATTGTGTTGTGTCCATCTACACCTAAAAATAAATATTAAAAAAAAAAAAAGAACTTAAAAATCCCTGGCTGGGGTTGTAGCTCAGTGGTAGAGCGCTTGCCTAACACATGTGAGGTACTGGAATCGATCCTCAGCACCACACAAAAATAAATAAATAAAGGTACTGTGTTCATCTACAACCAAAATAAATAAATAAATAAAAAATCCCAGCCAACTCCAGCCCACTTTTCTAGATTTTTAAATTTAAAAAACTTTTTAAATTTGAGAAGTCAGTATTAAACATTAATCTATTAATGTACGCATGCTATCTTTGACTTAAACTAATACTACAGATAATATAGAAAAATCATATATTTTAGTAAATTATTTAATTTCACCCAGATGAACAATATTCAATAAATGCCTTGTTTTAAAAAGCATTTCTCAGCTAAGTACAATGGTGCATGCCTGGAATCCCAACAGCTCAAGAGACTGAGGCAGGAAGATCATGAGTTCAAAGCCAGCCTCAGCAACTTAGGCCGTAAGCAACTTAGTGAGACCCTGTCTCAAAATAAAACTTAAAAAACAGCTGGGGATGTGGCGCAGTGGTTAAGCGCCCCTGGGTTCAATCCCCAGGACCAAAAATCAAAACCAAAACCAAAACCAAAAAAGCATTTCTTGATTCAAAGTCATCTGAAACTGTTCTATATTATACTCTAGATGTTTTAATTTTCTTTCTGTATTCAGATCTTTAACCTATCGGTAATGTCTGTCTGTGATGTGAAATAGGAATTTGTTGAGAGCCGTCCATGGGCTCATTGCAGCCTAGTGAATGGGATTATCTGGTGTCTGGGAACTTCCAGTGGACATTTCCTCTGTGTAAGACTGCCTAGATGCACTGTGAGCCTTATTCTGCTCTGCCTGGTCCCACACAGCACCAGAGATGGGGTGACCTGCTAACCACCCAGCCTCACAACCCCTCTGAGATGGGTGTAACCTGCCAAGATGCAATCAACCTGCTGAATGCAAGACATCAAGAAGCAAGACTCCACCCTTGAAACCTTATCCCTGCCTTTTCTCTACCCCCTTAAATAAGCCACATGAGTCCAGCTCTTGTGTGGACTGGACCTATCAGGGGCTCCAACTTTGAAAAAAATCTTTCTGACTTTGTCTTTTGTTCTTCACTAATTATTCCAGACTTTAATTTCTAAGGAGACTTATCCCTCTGAGCAGGCAAGAATTCCCTGGCAAGGTGCTGGCCAGCCCAAGACAGGAATCTAATTTCATTTCATTTCATATAAGTAACCAAGAACTCATTTTCTATTGACAGTGATGAAGAAAAGGAAGAGAATGCACCACAGCCTTAGGAAAGCCCAGATTGTGATCAGAACATGGGATAAATGTTTCTTGAGCCCAAAACTGAACCCAAAGCCCAACTGGTTGACAGTCTGTCCTACTTTGGAAACTGAGTTGAACTGGGTTTTTTAGACATCTTTAAACATCTCTCATTTTCTGCCACTGTTGCTGTCCCTGTTGAGGATTCAAGGTCTATGGGCTCTTCACAGGTACTGCTTGATGGAGCCATTGTGCTCTTCCCATCAATTCACTTTTGTTAAAATCCTATCTTATTGGGGCAGAGGGGTGGGAGGGAATGGGAGGGGTCAGGGGATTAGCAAGGATGGTAAAATGTGATGGACAACATTATCCATGAAGACACCGAATTGGGTGTCAACCTATTTTATATATAAACAGAGATATGAAAAATTGGGTATATATGTATAATAAGAATTGTAATGCATTCCACTGTCATTTATTTTTTTAAAAATCAATAAAAAAAATTTAAAAACAGGGAAAAAAAATCCCAGCCAGGTGGTGGCACATACCTATAATCCCAGCAGCTGGGGAGGCTGAGAGAGTTCAAAGGATGAGAGAGTTCAAAGCTAGTCACAGCAACTTAGCAAGGCCCTAAGCAACCAAGTGAGACCCTGCCTCTAAACACAAAAATGGACTGGGGATGTTGCCCAGCAGTTAAGTACCCCTGGGTTCAATCCCTGGTATTAAAAAAAAAAAAAAAATTAGAATTCCATGTTCCATCATCTGACCTTGAAATGGGAGACTGAAGCATCCAAGTGGGCCCAAAGTCATCACAAAGGTCCTCCTTATAAGTGGAAGACAGGCAGAAGAGTGGCGGTGATGTAATGTAAAAAGACTTGACTGGCTACTGCTGGCACTGAAAATGAAGGAGGAGGCCGTGAGTCAAGAATTCAGGACATCTCTAGAAGGTGGATTCTCTCCCACATTCTGCAGGAGGAACTAGCAGCCCTGTTGATAAACTGATTTAGTTCACTGAGACACGTCTCAGAGTTCTGACCTTAAAAACAACATAGAATAAATGTTAAAAACCAACATAGAATAAATCTACAGTGTTTCATGCCACTGAGTTCATTGGAGCAGTTATTAGGAAACCGATACTGCAAGTCCTGAGTGACTGTCCAGAAAGCCAGACAGCTCTCCCTGGGCAGTGGGGATCCTCTGCCTTTCTGCTGCATGACCAACTAAGGATGTGAGGATGCAGCCCTGGCTTGAAGGTTTGCATGGCCTCAGAGACATCTGTCACCCTTCAGAGGTCACTCTTGTCCATCTATGCTTTGAAAAGAAGTGCCCTGTCTACCCAAACCCAGGCTCAAGAGTTTAAAGGCTGGTGGCCAAGGATGAAAGTAGGCTGGGGGATCTGGGGCTGTGACCATAGGGTTGGCAATTCTAGGATTTGCCCTGAGCCTCCAGCTGCCAGGCAGATTGCTGATCTGACCAACAGAAGTGAGAAATCAGGGTTCTTATTCAGAAACTTACCTGCTAAAAACCTATAATTTATGCTAAGGATGAAACGTGCACATGGAGGTCCAGGGGTCTCACACAGCAGGACAGACATCAGCTGTGCTTTTCTGAGCTTACTGCCACCTTCCACAGGGACTTCTGTAGGAAGGGGCAGCAAGGCAGTTTTTGAGCAAGAGGTCCCAGGAGGAGGGCGTGTCCTGGGCTTTTATACCTCAGGTAGGGAGGCCTTGGTGATCACCCCACAGTCACCACTCAGCTTGGATTCCCACCCAGGCCTCGTCTAGAAGGCAGGGCAGGAGGAACAGAGCAGCTTTCCCTCACTCCCAGGTGGACTTTTGGGGGCAGGTCCAGAGTTCCTTACTGTCCTCTGAGTTTCCAGTAGGCTGGAGTTGGCCCCCAGGGTGCTCTATCTAGGCCCAGAGGCCCACAGGTGTCCCCCCTCTACCGCCCCCCAGGAGGGCAGCCCTCCTGCTCAAGGGGCCTCAGGCCGGTGGCTCTTCCTGTGGATGACCAACTGGGACTTCCAGTCGAAGCTGCGGCCGCAGTCACTACAAAAGTGGCGCCGCTGGCCAGCATGACTCTTCCGGTGGATGACCAGCTGCGACTTCCAGCTGAAGCTCCGCCCACATTCCTCACAGGTATAGCTCCGAGGCCCCACCGGGCGCCGCGGGGGTCGTGCCACTGGCTCCTGGGGTGCCTGTGGTGGCCTCTCGGGACAGGGGCCTCCTGCATGTGAGCGGTGGTGGATGACGAACACGGACTTCCAGTCGAAGCCCCTGCCACACTGCGGGCACACGTAGGGCTTCGGCTGCGCGGGGGAGAACGGGAGTGGCAGTGCTGGTGGCGGGGATGTGCAGACCTGGCTGCGCCCAGGAGTGTCCACCTCAGCCCCGACTTCTGGGTGGTTCAGGCTGCGCTCGCCTGGGCAGCGGCTCTCACCAACCTCGGGTCCGGAGCATGGTGTCCCCAGCTCTGGCTCACGGTCAGGCTCTGACTTGGATTCAGCCCGCTCTTTGGCTGGCGGGGGTGGCAGCCCTGCTGGGGTGGGCAACGAACGATCAGGTGGGAGATCACCCGAGGCCCCGGGTGGGTGCCTTCTGGAAGGGGGAAGGCTGTGACTGGGCCCTGGGAGGCCTGTGCGAAACCCCAGGCAAGCAGCCTGAACCCAAGCCCAGGCGGGAAGGGACCGGTGGTCCTCACCCAGCGAGACCACCGTGCCGTACTTCTCCAGCATCGCGTCCCAGTACTGCTCCTTCTGTGACGGGTCCAGCAGCCCCCAGTCCTCCTGCAGGATGAGGATGCAGCTCATCACTGTGGTCCCACCCCAGCTGCTAGTGTTGCATCCTTACCTATTTACCTAAGCTTCATCTATGGGCGAGATAAGGCACAAGCCAAGAAGGGGCTTGTGAATGCTGGGTCCTCCTTCAGATCATCTGGCCAGCCTGCCAGTACTCACCTGTCTTAGCTGTCCACCCATTGTTCTGGTCAGAGATTGAAACAGGGTGGGATTCAGGTTAAGCTTTGTAAAGACCATTATGGCTGCCCCCAACCTTTGCCCTTTCAAGTATCTTAACAGGATGCTAAAGGGAGCAAGAGACTCAGGGACTGCTGGGGACTCAGCCACCTGCCCAGCCTCTGACTACAAGAGTCTTCAAAGGCTGGGAGCATTTGAGCACATGGAAATGAGGCTGTGGGGAGGAAGGAGGATCCAGGATCCTGACTGCACCTTGGGATGTGAACAGGGGACGCAGGAGTGGCAGTGGAGAAAGTTCAGAGTGTGGCGGGGCTGGGAATATAGCTCAGTTGATAGAATGCTTGACTCGCAAGTACAAGGCCCTGGGTTTAATCTCCAGCACCACCCAAAAAAAAAAGAAAGAAAGAAAGTAAGTTCAGAGAGTGGGTGCCAGTTGGCTCCTGTGTGCTGCTTCTGGCAAGACCCTGAGACAGGATGAACCTGGCATGTGGCAGAGGCCCCAATGGCTTTACTGAGAAATATACTTCCTGCCTTTGAGTCCTGCCATCTGGGACTTTGCTGGGTTGGGAAAAATAATCCTGAGAGACAAGCCAAAGCAAGTCTGGGAGCAGGGAGCTGGCCATATATAACCAAGATAGAGATGGTAAAGGCTGGAAGTGATGATCCCATGGAGCCTGCAACCTTTCCACTCAGCCTAAGATTTCTAACCGTGCCATCAGACTATGGAAGGAACCTGGAATCTCAGCCTCAAAGCACACCTCAACCAACAATTCTGCTGAGAAAGCTCCCAACTAGAGTGGTATAGTAGCAAAAGAACTAGGAGAAAACAGTCCCCCACTCTACATACTTGGGAACTTGGTGCTCAAGATGACAGGAGCTATGAATTAAGCTTCCAGGCCCAGCTGACTGCCTTTTTTTTAAATTTTTTTAATATTTATTTTTTAGTTTTCGGTGGACACAACATCTTTATTTTATTTTTATGTGGTGCTGAGGATTGAACCCAGCGCCCCGAGCATGCCAGGTGAGCGCGTTACTGCTTGAGCCACCTCCCCAGCCCCCAGCTGATTGCCTTTTGAGAAAAACCCTACAAGAGAAGGGACTTTAGGCATTTCCCAGGAAGAGTGTTTGTTCTGACCCCAGGTGCTGAAGTCCTGCCAGTTTGTCACTGGTTCCTCCCAACCTGCACACACAAGTTTTAAATCTCTAAGTTCTGGCCCTAGACCTCTAGGAGCTGCAAATCTCCCCCAGTGACTTCTCTGGAGGTGAAGAAGGCAAGCTCACCAGTTCTGGTCACTTCTGACCAGGTTTCCATGATCTGAGGCTCAAATTTTCCAATAATAGAGGCCAACAGTCTGTTCCTCTACCCCTGGGACTTCTGGGGCACCCGTTACTTACTCCACTTTTGGGCAGTAAAGAGCTTAAGAACCAGGCGCAGTGGTGCACACCTGTAATCCCATCAGCTCAGGAGGCTGAGGCAGGAGGACTGAGTTCAAAGGAAGCCTTAGCAACTTGTGAGACCCTAAGTAACTCAGTGAGACCCTATCTCTAAATAAAATATAAAAAGGACTGGGGAGGGCTGGGATTGTAGCTCAGTGGCCGAGCGGTTGCCTCGCACGTATGAGGTACTGGGTTTGAACCTCAGCACCACATAAAAATAAATAAATAAAAGTATTGTGTCCATCTACAACTAAAAAAGCCTTTTTTTTTTTTTAAAGGACTGGGGTTGTGGCTCTGTGGCAAAGCGCCCCTAGGTTCAATCCCTGGTACAAAAAATAAAAGCAAAAAACAAAAACAAAGTACAAGAGCAATTGGCCAAGACTGGAAAAACCACAGGGCAGAGGCATGCACCAGGGATGTTTCCCTCCCATACTTGGGACCTGTACTTTCCACTGGGGACTGCTCACCTGAATCCTGGGTGGGTGGAAGGAAGTGGAGGCTGTGTCCTGGTGTCTAAGATGCCCCTTGGGAGACTGGGTTGGAAGCAGTGGACTGGGAGGTGCTGAAAAGTAAGGTAGATGGGAATGGGTGTCAGGAGTTACCCACACAAGCCAGGCTGGAGGAGGATCTGGTGTTACTGCCTAAGTCTTGGTCCACCTCTGCCCTATGTATGTCTTTTGATTCCTAGATCTTCTCCAGGGCTTCCATCCCAGCCAAGGACATCCACCCTCATTTCCAGAGTCTAAGCCCTGGCATAAGAAGTCTCCTGAGGAGCCAGATATTGTGGTATATTCCTATAATCCCAGTGGCTCTGGAGGCCAGGGGAGGACTGCAAGTTCAAAGTCAGTGCCAGCAATTTAGCGAGGTCCTAATAACTTAGCAAGACCCTATCTCAAAATAAAATTTTTTTTAAAAAAGGAACTAGGGATGTGGCACAAAGGTTAAGCACCCATGGGTTCAATCCCTAGTACCAAAAAAAAAAAAAAAAAGCTGCCTAGGACTCCCCTCCAGGGATGTGCACACTCTTTCCACAAGCTCCACGGTCTTGGTGTGGCACTCTCCCTCACCCACATGCTGCCCATCAGCACTGGGCTCCTCCTTCACACTGCAGCTGAGCTGGGTAGACCCTTCCATCCTGGCATTATGTGGACCCTCTCCAGGGGCTGCCCCAGAGAACTCCACTGTTCCTGAGGGGCAGGGGCTTGCTGAGGACTCCTCTGTCTTCTGGGCTGCAGGAAGCACCTCTGGCTTCAGGATGTGGGCTGTGATCTGAGAAAAAGAGGTAAGTCACAGGGGCTCTATGTTTGATCTCTCCTTAGAAGTTAATGACACCACACTTACCCAGCCCAACAGCTGCCCAGGGTCATGCTGTAGCCCTTCAACTAGAGCTACAGCTTCCTCAGGGCTGCCTGGCCGCTGCCCTTGCACCCAGGACTGGATCTCAGGGGGCAGTGTGCCCACAAACTGTTCCAGCACCAACAGCTCTAACATCTGTTCCTTGGAACATGACTCAGGCCGCAGCCATTGGCGACACAGCTCTCTCAGCCGGGTCAGGGCCTCTCTGGGCCCTGCCACCTCTTTGTAGCAGAATCCACGGAATTTCAGTCGTGCAGCCTCAGGCTCCTCAAGGGTGGTCTCAAGATTACTGAGGGACTGGTGTGGGGACCTCAGTGGGGATGGCATTCTTGTTTCAGAGGGTCTTTTAGGAATCACCAAGAGGGACCTACAGAAAAGGAGGGATCAAAGTGTCATTCAAGAGGGCCTGGCTAAGGAGAGACAGATACAAGGCCCAGCCCAGGAGCCAAGGCCAGGACAGAGGAGACCCTGAGACCAAGAGTAGGTAAGGGGTGGGGGCTCCAGGAAAGCTTCATGGGAGGAGAAGGTCATAGGAGCTGAGATCAGGAGGATGCCTTGCGGATAAAGGCTTGGAGGGAAGGAGTCCAGGAAGCTGCCAGGAAAGTGGAAAACAGTTCGATCCAATACAGGTAAGACAGGAGCAGTGGTCCACACCTGTTATCCCAGCAACTTGGGAGGCTAAGGCAGGATTGCAAGTTCGAGGCCAGCCTTGGCAATTTAGTGAGATCCTGTCTCAAAACAAACAACAACAACCAAAAACCAAAACAAAAAAAACCAACACCTGGGAATAACAGACAGGAAAGTGGCTCCCCCAGCCCAGAAGCGAACGGTCAATCGACCAGCTGGTCCTGGGGGATTGGGAGCCCTGAGTGTGGAAGGTCGGGCTTTGTGTCTGTCCTAATGGTCTCTGGGACTTGCTGCCTGAAGAGCTGGCTCTGGGGACCGGGCCTGTCCTCGCCAGGAGACAGACGAAGCAGGTGCAGTACTAGGTGCACTCCCGAGTGCTGACACGGTTCCGAGACGCGGTGCTTGCTGCAGAGGCCTCAGCCCTGAAGAGCATCTGGGGGAAACATGCCCACCTGGGGGTCCGTCAGGCCTGTCCTACCCGAGACCCGGGGATTTGGGGGCCTGCGCCCCGGGACGGGACGGGAAGGAGCAGATCTCTCGGGAGTGCCGGTCCGGGTCCGGGACGTGTTCTGGGTGGGCGGAAAGCCGGGACCAAGGCGGCGGCGGGGAGCAGGACCGGCGCGCGCCCCTCGCGGTGGAAGAGGCCGCGCACGGGCCAGTCAGAAACGCGCTCCCCTCGGCAGCCGCTCGGCCGGCGGCCACTTCCCGGAAGTGGCGGCGCACACACCCGCCCGCCCCGCCCGCGCGTGGCCCCGGCGACCCCAGCCCGGCCAATCCCGCGCCGGCCCTTCAGGCACCACCTGCTCCCCGAGGACTACGTTTCCCCTGAGCCTCGTGAGCCCAGGAGCGCATTTTCAAACTCCTCGCGACCGGATGGCATCCTTTCCTCTCCAAGACTCCGCACGGCCGTAGGGTTCAGCGGGGGCGTCCCCCGGCCCGGTCTCCACACCCGAGCGCCAGGCTGCCCCACCGCGGACCGGGAGGCCCGTCAAAGCCTTGCGCATGTGCGCAGCGGACCCGAGGCCTATTGGGTAGTGAGAGCGTGCTCTCCCGACCAATCAGAGGAGGCCCTCGGCCTCCGCTCTCCCCACCCACCACGGGCCTGCGGGGTGCCGCTCCAACCCTCCCCCAGGTACCCGTGGAGCGCGGCTGCCCACTCCCAGTTTTTCCCATGGCCACGACCACAGCGTTCCCCCATCCCGAGAGATCCTAAATGCCGCTCCGTGGCAACCTCCGTGAATTCGCAGGCTTCCACCTCGCTCAGAGTTCTCCTTCGAAGGAGGCACTGGAGACCCTCATTCAACCCGTTAATGCCCTGCGGACTTTGGGGGGCGTACATTTACTGAGAAGGTAACCATGTATTACCCTTAAGAGTCTGACAGGCACATGAAGGGTGTCCAAGTTTGTGGGATGTGCTCAACCTTCTGTTTATTTTGCAAAACAGAACTAGACAGTGGCTTGTTTTTCACAACAGGCCATGTTATTATTATGTAACTGTGGGGTAGGGTTCATTCTGCCTCCACCTATCAAGTAGCTGAACTGTGGCGTACTCACTCAACACTAAACTTTATCGGCAGGTGTTTTGGTTTTTCAGATACCTGCCAACAATTCAGGACAAGAGCAGTAGTCCTAAATGCTGACTAGAACCTTGGAGCAGTGTGTGGGTAGAGCTTATTAACTCTTACCTGTCCAGTGGCTTCATCAGGGTGCTAGTTTTTTTGAAGGGCTTCGGTATTTTCTCTGGGACTGCAGATTGTCTGGGAACAATTTTTCAATGGGTGGAGAGCTCTTCTCCAGGTACCTTTACAGGAAGACCCTTCTCCCTGGATTGCTGTTCACCAAGCCTCCTGCTGTGCTACAGGGTAAGCCTAGTTGGACTTACCCAAATGCCAATTATTTGGCTTCTCATCAATGAGTGACAGTTCCCACATCTAGCTTCAGAATGCCATTGCCCTTAACACCCTTCCCCATCCTCACACTTGTGGATTTATCTTTTTCTTTCTTTCAGTGCTGAGGATTGAACCCAGGGCCTCAGGCATGCTCAGGGTGCACTCTGCCACTAAGCTATACCACCAGTCTTCTGGATTTGAGCTAGCTGTGATGCCTATGTTTGAGTCGACCTTTGTCCCAGAAAGTTCAGGTACACTTTTACAGTTACAAATTGACTGGGTTAAGAGAGACCAGCCCAACATGACCACAGGGGTTGGAGAAAGGCAAGGCAGACGGAGGAGGCAGCCCAGGTTGGGGTCCCCAGCCAGTTCTGGGTATCAGAAGAGGTAGATTCAAGGAGGTTGGAGCTGAGGAACAAGAACACAGCCCAAAGGTGAGAAACAGCTCAAGGAGAGGCTGGTGGGGAGACAGGACACTGGATCCAGCCTAAGGGGTCAGGAGGGCTTAGGACATAAACTGGGTGGTCCAGGAAATTCTGCCCAAGGCACAGGAAATATTTCATGAGTGGATACACACTTGTTCAACAGATGCCTTTGGTCCTTAATCTCATGAGTTCCCTAGAAGTACCTCTGTGGCAGGGTGGGGTTTGTCTGTGTTTCACAGCTTTGCAGACTGACTTCATACAGGAGGGGTGGACAACAGTCTCAGGAGGCTTCAAGGCAGAAGATGGATATGGCCCAAGTGGTGGATAAGCAGGACAGCTGGGTCTTATGTTCTCTGAGTATAGGAGATGACTGCAAGGTCTTAAGGTGATGGGACTGGTGTACCTACTGGGCTGGAGTCAACCTTGCTAGGATACCACATATGGCTGCCCCAGCTGTGCCTTAGCAGGAGTACATATTCTGTCCCAGTTTCTCCACTCCCCACCCCCACCATTGACTGGATCCCCAAAGGCTCATCTCCCAGGAGAGCTGCTGCTCAGGGGAAGGCAGCAGCTTCCACCCAGATCTCCTTGCTTCCTCCACCAACCTGCAACCCCCAATGGGACACAGGTGTCCCAGTCCCACACTGGGCTGCAGACAAGCCACATATTTACCCTGTACTTTCTCTAGGGGACTCAGGTTGAAGCTCTGGGACGAAGACACCCTGATGACACATCTGTGTTATGTGTGTTTAATACTGTCTGCATTGCATTAGAGTGAAACAAGCACCAGGCTATGATTGTTCACAATGTTTAAAAAGAAACCTTTACTAGGGAGACATCTGAACACCCCTGGAGCCAAGGGAAGAGGCTGAGGCCATGGACTTCCACATGCCTGTACACAAAATTATAACTCACATCCATTTCAGGTTGTAAATGCTATCGTTTTGGGTTCCCCGCCCCCCTTCTCCTCTGGGTTAAAAAGACCGCTGCCTACCCTGGCAGTGAAGCCCCAGATCAGCAGAGGGCCTGGTCTGCTTAACCATATAGGGATCAAATGGCCCCACTCCATCCATGTGTCCTCAGCATTAAGGGGCATTGTACTGGGGAAGTGGCTTCAGAAGAAGGCTGAACATCACACAGGCTTAAGTAATGACAAGGCCTTCTTGTTCAGCTGTTTGTCCACTTTCCAACCAAGGTACAACAGGTCATGCAGCCAGCAAACCCAACAAAAATGAGCAGCCCTGTCTTGTTTCCTCTGCAGTTCTTATCAGTGCTTTGGATGTAAAGATTCCTCATTGAAAAAAAAGAAAATCCTCATAACATTGACTTTGGTAACAGGAGCTCGTGACAGAACGAAGATGGGAATGTGAATGAGTGCTGCTGGGAAGCCAGTTTCCAATGCTGACAGCCACATCCCCTCCCTCAGGGCTGCACTGCCTGTGAGTCAGCTGTGTGGCCAGGTCAGACCCTCAGGCCTGGCTGACTACATTGAGGCCTGGGGGCTGAGGTATGTGAAACTGAGCCAATCCCCCGGCTTCTAGTATCAGCTCTGTCCTGGGCAACTCGCTTTTCCTCTCTGTGTCTCAATTTACTCATCTTTCAAGTGAGCAAACTAGCACAGGGTTCATAGGGCTGACAAGAGGAACTTCCCCACAGGTACCCACCTGAGGAGCACCCTCTGTGGGATGGGCCCAAATTTTTTCCTTTTTCCCAGAGAAGGTAGTTGAGGCTTAGAGTCCAACCACTTGCCCAAGTCCTACATCCTGACTCTCATTCCTCTGTAGCCTCCTATTTGCTGGGTCAGATCCAAAGCAGCTCTGGATGAACTGAGGCCTGGGCATGGGGGTGGGACAGGGAGGTGTCGCCAGCTGCCAGTTTCTGTGAAGACTTCTTCAGGCCTGCACTTCTCCCCTCACCTTAGCATTCGTCACGAGACAGTGAAAAGGCATCACCATGCAGGGCTGCCTTTTTTGGCACCAGGTCCTTCCTCCTGGTGTCTCTGCATATGACCTCTTTGAGGACACAGGTGTATCCCAAAGCTGAACTGGCAAATCTTGTCACTGTGTACAAATGGAAGCACGCCAAAGAATCTTCCTTGTGCCTGGTTAGCACACATAGGCCTTCTCCCCCTTGTGGACCTGCAGTGGACACAGGCCTTTAGCTGTGAAAGGGATTCACAGAAGGTTGGGGAAGGGTAGAAGTGTGCCCTTAGGACTCAGCAGACGTTAGGGCCGTGGGTGAACCTGAGGAAGGAGAGGCTTTGGCTTCCTTCCCATGTACACCTTCTGACGAGCTCTGCGAAGGAGACCTGGCCTGGGCACGCATCCCGGCCCTGGGTCGCCTCAAGGCCTTCTCACCAGTATGGATCCTCTGGTGGTGGAAGAGGGCTGGGCGCTCGCGGAAAGCGCGGCCGCACTGTGTGCACACAAAGGGCTTCTCTCCTGTGTGGATGCGCCGGTGGCTAAGCAGCACTGCTCCCTTGGCAAAGGCCTTGCCACAGTCCCCACAACGGAAGGGCCGCTCACCTGTGTGGAGCAGCTGATGCTGTGTGAGATTGGAGCTATGGCTGAAGGCACGGCCACACTGCGCGCAGGCGAAAGGTTTCTCACCCGTGTGCACCCTCTGGTGCTTAAAGAGTGAAGAGCCCTGGCTGAAGGCGGCACCACAGAGTGCACAGGCATAGGGCTTCTCACCCGTGTGTGTGCGCTCATGCTGGATCAGGTGCGAGTTGCGGCAGAAGCGGCGGCCACACTGGGCACAGGCGTAGGGCCTCCCGCCTGCGTGGATCTTGCGGTGCTGGCTGAGGTTGGAGCCGTGGCTGAAGGCCTTGCCACACTCGCTGCAGCGGAAGGACTTCTCTGCTGTGTGGATACGCTGGTGCCGCACCAGTGAGGAGCTGTGCCGAAAGGCTTTGCCGCAGGCCGGGCATGCGTAAGGCGTCTCGCCACTGTGGATGCGCTGGTGCTGTGTCAAGTGTGAGGTCTGGCTGAAGGCCTTGCCACACTGTGCACACTCATAAGGACGCTCACCAGTGTGGGTGCGCAGGTGCTTGAGGAGGTCTGAGCTCTTCACAAACACTTTGCTGCATGCCCTGCATTCAAAGGGCTTCTCCCCAGGGAGCAGACCGGGAGCAGCATGGAGGGCCTCGCCCAGCTCTTTCCAGGTTGGGGCCTCTTGGGTACCCATGAGTCTCTGAGGCTCATGCCAGTTTGTGTCCATCCCCCGTTCTCCCCCACTGCAGATGGTTCTGAGGTCGGGATCGCTTGGGAAGGCTCTGGGGTGAGCTGGCTGCACATGTGGCTTCTGTAGCTCCGCCATCTGTGGCAACTTCCCTGGAGCGGGGCAGTCTGTCAGGACTTTCTCTCTAGACTGGCCACTCTCAGAAGCCCTCAGTGGGGAGGTCAGTCGCAGGCTGATGCTGGCTTTACCACTGCCTGAGCCTAGCAGGAGCCTCTCCCAGTAGATCACTGACACACCTGAGGGTTTTCTCTCTCCAGATGAGAAGGCACCCCGTTTTCCCACCAGGCTTGGACTAGTAGGTGTCTCAGGGGAGCTCTGCAGGAAGGCCCCTGGCAGTGTCGGTTCTCCAGAAACATCTCTGTCCTCTGCCAGACAGCAGGAACCTGAGGGTAGAGGAATGATGGCTGCCTGGGGCATCTAGCCAGGATGTGACCAGAGCAGGCTGCTGGGAAGGCAGGGGGAACCCAGGGGATGGACGAAAAAGCCTAGGGAGAAAAGCGGAAGCCTACGCGGGCCCTGCAGGAAGCGGGTGGAAGGAGCATCTGCCCTGACAGGTATGGCATTCACTGTATCTGCACCCCCAGGGTCAAGAGGAAAGCCCCAGACAACCAGATGTGGGAGTATAGAGAACTCAGCATCTATTACATACCACCTAAGCCTCTGCTGGCTATCCCTACCACAGATCCCTCCCCACAGTTCATTCCCCAGCCTGCCTTTTCTCCTTGCTCTGATTTGTTTCTGAAGCTACTGACAATTTGTGAACAGTTTACTGACTGCCTCTCCCCTGGCATTAGCCCCAAAGAGCAGGACAAGGAGTATCCTCGTCAAGGTTGTGTTCCCAGGACCTGGAACAGGTCTGGCCAGAGCAGGAACTCAAGCAGCATCTGGACACATGAATGAAGGGAGGAAGGAATACCCAACAGATGTAACAGCTAGATGGGGAGGTTTGAAGCTGTACCACCCAGTTGGAGGAAGGACTCTGAACAGGTCTCACCACAGTCAGGTGACTTCCTGTGTGAAAACAGATCCTATGTTTTTAGACCCAGGCCATAGCCTCCAAGACAGGATGATGAAAGAAGGGAAAAGAGGCAGATGGGCAGCCAGAGGAGACAGTCTGTCTAGAGGAGGGGAGTCAGAGGCTGGGCCACCGGTTGGTCCCAAGTTCACCCCTACCTTGAGCCCCAACTCACCAAGGCTGGACTTTCTGTGGGCATTCCTGCCCAGGGCTGTATCTGTCCCACTGGGAACCCAAGGCTCCTCACCATGCTCCAGCTGGATGACCACACGAGGTCGGGAGGCAGAGAGTCCTATGAACAAGGTGGTTCAAGTGAGAGGCCACGTCAAGTCAGCAAAACCCATCCCCCAGAAGATGGCAGGAGTCAGGGCTTCCTGGAAATAGACGATATTATCTGTGCCATCAGGAAAACCTGGGGTCACAACAGGGCAGGGCCTCAGTGGGACAGCTCAAGGATCCCTGCAAGCAGCATATGTGCTGGGGCACCACAGGAAGAGGACTGAGCCCAGGCACAGGAGATGCAGTCAGATGGGGCCACAGGGTAAGATGGAGCAGCCTGCACATCTCCAGATCCTGACCCTGGCCTCCTGTGGCGTCTAGCCAGAAGGTCCTGCTCTTGGGTGGGTGGGAAGGTGAGATGATAGTCCTGATGACCCAGCCAGGTACCAACGTAGCTTCCCATGGAGGACCCAGGGCCTTACCCAGTGAGGCCACAAGTGCGAAGTTCCCCAGCATCACGTGGCGGTACAGAGCTCTCTGGGCTGTATCCAGTAGCATCCACTCTTCCCGAGAGAAATACACAGCTATGTCCTCAAAGGCAATCAGGCCCTACAACAGCAAGCAGTCTAAGGTATGGCTGTGACTCAGAACTCAGATCCCTGTCCCCATGGCACTTTCTGAACATTCATGATCTTCCTGGGGTTCTCTTCCAGCGCTATCTTCAAGTGGCACTTCCTCCACCCATCTGGGCCCCCTTCCTTCCACCTTTCCTGTTCAGGCCACAGAGGCGCTCTCAGCCTCTCCCCTGGCTAGTTTACACAAGCAAGTGAGAGCCATCCTCATGGTTCTTGGCTGGCATCCACTCGACCCAGCAAGACCACTCATGACCCTACCCAAATGTGCCCTTCCTATGCTGGCACAAGCAACTGTGTAAGTCCCAGCTGTGGACACTCCAGGGTGTGCCCACTCTAGGATCCTCCCTGCTGTGCCCCTGGCACTCCCAGGCTGGTCCCTGAAATCAGTTGCCACAGGAGGGTGGTCCAAAGGGCCTGGTGGACACATAGGAAGTCAATACCCTACTGCCCCCTAGTACTGTCCCCTCTATTTCTTCATTCTTTTTCCACCCTCCCCTCCCTCAGCCACCTGCCAGACTCTTGCCCTGACAACTGCAGTTATTCCCAACCATTTTCCTCTCTCTAGGAAACTGACCATCCTCCACTGAGTCTGTGAGATCACCCCCTCCTCAGTCCAATTCCCAAACTCT